ATATATATAGAGAGAGAGAGAGAAATATATATACATATATATATATATATATATATATATATATATATATATATATATATATATATATATATATATATATATATATATATATATATAGACACACACACACACACACACACACACACACACACTCAATTTTTCATTGTCAATCTTTTTATTTTATTTATGTTGGCATTTACTTTAATACAGATATATAATAACTCTTGGAGCTTGCACTGCTCTTTGTTCGACATTGATGGGTTCGATCCTTCCACAGGTAACTGATTATTTTTTTATCCGTGCAAAATAACTGTATTCGAAAGTTCCGTATTTTTTTTTATTATTATTTTTTTATTTTATTTTTGTGTATATCTCAGCCGAGAATACTTATGGCAATGGCAAGAGATGGATTGCTGCCATCTTTTTTCTCCGATGTGAATCAAAACACTCAAGTTCCGATGAAGGGCACTATCGTAACTGGTATTCTCGCTGCCACCTTGGCGTTCTTCATGGATGTCGAACAGTTGTCCGGAATGGTATATACTGCTACTCTCTCTCGTTTTTAAATTCTCATCAATTGAATTTCACTGTATACTCGTAGTATATACATAACTTATGGGTGAAAATTGGAACGGAATTTCCGTATTTCGCCGATTCCGAAAGTAGTGATTTTTTTTCGTTTTTTTGTGGAATGGAATTAGATTCCAATTTCCGATTAGATTTTATTTTCCTAAAATATTTCCAAAAATTCTATTTAAAGAAAATCACACTTATAATATCAATATTATTATGTAATTTATATTATAGGTGTCTAAAATAATGGAAATTCCGAATTCCGTCAATTCCGAACCGAATGTTCCGGTTTCTGATTTTTTTCGGAACGGAAATGAAATACATATTAGATTCCGATTTCCGATTTCCGATCAAATTTTAAATTCCAAAAGTATTTCCAAAAATCCGAGTTTTTCTGAAAATTACACGTATAATATCACAATGTTATTATGTATTTTATATCCTAAAAAATATTATTATGTATCTTATATTATAGGTGACCAAAAAATGAAAAACCTGAATTTTTCCAATTCTGATACTAATTTTCCATTTCTGAATAATGTTTTTTAATTCCGAATTCCGAAAGTTCCAATTTTTTATTAGATTTTAATTTCCGAAAATATTTCAAAGAAGTCCCTTTTTTTCCGAAATTTACACTTACAATATCACAACATTATTATGTATTTTATATCATTGGGGACTGAAACAATGAAAAATCCGAATTCCGCCAATTCCGATATATAAATAAAAAAAGGATTTTGGAACAAGTTCTTTCTGAATTCCAGTTTCCGAAATAATTTATACTACACAATATTTTCCCACTGGTCTTGATAACTGTAATTTCGCTTTGCAGGTTAGTGTTGGCACACTTCTTGCATTTACAATGGTAGCAATTTCAGTGCTTATACTGAGATACGTACCCCCAGACGAGGTCCCACTTCCATCGACTTTTCAAGGGGCGATAGATACAGTTTCGATGCGATATAGTGTAAGCAATAACAGTCTCGCAGATTCCGATATGGAGAACACCAAAGTTTATCACGGGGTTACCACAGACGATTCTGCCCCTATTTCTTCAGTTATCCAAGAAGAAACAACCATCGAATATCCTCTCATAGAGAAACCAGCTCCGAAATTGAACTGTAATAAATTAGCTCGTCGTTTATCGATAGAAGCAATTCTAGGTTTTAATTAATTTATTTATTTAGGGTTTAATGCTTCTTTTGTATTATACTTTACAGGTATGAACGAAGAGAAGCGTCGGAAAATTGCGGGATGGACAATCATGTTTACGTGTGTTGGCGTGCTCGTTTTAACTTCTGCTGCTTCAAGTTTGACCCTCTACAGGTATGTGTGATTTATTTATTTATTTGTAATCATTTTATTAAGGGTTAAATACACTTCACACCCCTGAAGTATAGCCCATGTGACACTTACCCCCCTCAAAAATAATTATTTTATATTTTAAAATTTAAAACATAATAAACATAACAATATAATAATTATTGGATCATATAAAATTGAAAATTAACTAAATTTAAATTATTGGAAAAGTATTAAAAAATAATATATATTGTATAATAATGAATGAAAATATATTTTAAGAAAATAATGAACTAAAATAAATTTAAATACTTAAGATTACTATTAGTTATATATTGATTTCTTAAAATTTATCTATATGAATATATTCGATTAATTGGTCCAACAATAATTAGATGTTATTTAATAAATATGTACCCACCGCAAGATAATATTTTTAAATTTTTAAACATTGCATTTTTCAACAGATTTAATTATTCTTTTAGTTATTCCTTTCAATAAAAGAGAAAATTTTAAGGTATTATAATTTAAAATACAAATTAAATTGTGATTGAGGGGTAAGTGTTACAGAGGGTACACTTTAGGGGTGTAAACTGTATTTAACCCTTTTATTAATGAGTTTAATATCATATTTTTCCTAATTATTATTTTCGGAAACTAATTTTTGAAACCCTATTTCATTGCAGCCTTATTCGGTTTTCGCTTTGTGGAATTGGTGGGGCCCTTCTTTTGTCCGGGCTGGCGGTGCTGACCTGGATAGACCAAGATGATGCGAGGCACAGTTTCGGCCACACGGGAGGTATATTTATTATTGGATCCAACTATTCTTTTTTTAATTCCGATTTTCTTGCGACAAATTTTATCGCAAGATAAATGGATGTAGAATTAGGACATCTTTATATGACTCGCTGTTTTCTGTTTCAGGGTTCATTTGCCCGTTTGTTCCGCTTCTACCTATCGCCTGCATTCTGATCAACGTCTACTTGTTAATTAACCTCGGGTGAGTATACTTGCATATAATAGCTATTTTTGTAGGTAATACAAATCGAGTCTTTTGCATTCTGCACCCTTGTATTTACTCTAATTGTCAAAGTAGTCCTGTTTTTTTTTTTTCGGCATACCACTTTAAACCCGTTTTTCTTTATTTTCTAACTGTTGAAAAATTTCACTATGATGCACTATTTAGGGGGTTTTGTGCTAAAAAAATTTATTACAAGGGGGCGTTTGGCAATAACATAACAAGGGGAATAGTTTTTTTCAATTCGATATAATACAAGCTCACGGGGGTGCTAAAATGCAATATACTCTAAAAAAAATCCCTTTTAACTTCTAAAATCGAATTCACTAAATTCGTTTTTTGCACTACGTGAATAATATCTATGCAGTTCCGCTACATGGACACGAGTGTCGATTTGGCTGGTAGTAGGAGTACTCGTCTACATTTTCTACGGGCGAAAAAACAGCTCGTTGAGGGACGCGGTTTATGTTCCAGCAGCCCATGTCGATGAAATATACGAGAGCCACTCCGACCTTGTGCTATAAAATTATACAATTGAAATCGTCTTTTTTTTTTTCCCTTTTCGTTTAGTTTTTTTTAGCGGCAAAATCCCAAATTGAGCAGGTTTTAATTCTGTTTACAGTGCTTTGGAGGCAAATCTGTGATCTCAGATTTGCTTGGAAAAAGATTCTCTCTCTCTCTCTCTCTCTATATATATACATATATATATATATATATATATATATATATATATATATATATATATATATATATATATATATATATATATATATAGCAATCATTGTGTGTTTCAGATCTCAGAAACACACACACAGGATTTGTTTGTAACATATATATGTTAAGTTCAGTCAGCAGTGTGTGTATATGTATCTCTTTTATGAAACATTTGTAAATATTTGTGAAGTTGTTTTAATCATTAGATTGCAATTGAAGTTTGTTGTTCGGAATGAATTTATTATTGTTGTTGGAGCAATTTAAGCTTTTGTTGTTCTATTAGGGGTGACGATTTACTCAATTTGGATAGGATTCGGTCACGATCCATGTGGATCGGATCCTAAAAGAATCGGATCCAAAATGGATCGGACATAGACCAATTCGGATTGGATTCAGATGGATTCATTGCATCTTTAACTCGACCGAATCTTTGTCTAGATTCATGTGGATCGGATACAAAAAAAAGAACCGGACCCAATATCTACCTATATGAATGGATCCAAAATTGATTGGATTTAGACCGTTTTGGATTTGATCTAGATGGATTAATTGTATCTTCAACTCAACTTATGTGGTTGAATATCTCGACTTACATGATTTAATATCTCAACTTATGTGGTTCAGAATTCATTATACTCAATTAATGGCAGCACTCAGAGCCATGGAGTTCGATCGCGATCATGATATGCATCGAGTCGTTTTAGAAAGCGATTCCAGCACCATTGTTGCAGCTATCTAAGGTGAAGGAGGGTCTTCTTTTTTTTCAGCTTTGGTTACTTCATCGACGATATCAAAAGACTCTCATCTGTATTTGAAGACTTTAAAGTTTGCCACGTCAAAAGGGAAGGTAACCGTGCTGCCCACGAAATTGCAAAATTGTCCCTATGGTCGACTTTTACGGCTGATGTTCTCCCAGATTACATATCTAGTATTGTAATTTCTGATTTTTCTCATTAATGGAATTATAAGTCATACCTACACATATTCACACTCACAAACACATTCACACACTCATGCTATTAATGAACAACCATGTACACATGCACACACTTTTGACACACACATAACACACACTCTCTCTCTCTCACACACACACACACACACACACTCGAACCAAATTTTACACACACATACACACATCCGACACACCTTTAGAAGCTCGATTAAAAAAATAAGCTACACGAACTCGACATGTGTTTGGCTCGACGCTCGATTAAAATTCAAACAAACTTGATCAATCATGCGTTTGGTTCCGTTTACACCCTATTAACATGTCGATTTTGCGGCAAGAGTGGGATACATATGGATACATATATCAATAAGAATTATATTATCCATTTTAAAATATACATTTATAAATTGTATACTATTTAATCATTTGTCTATCTATTTTTTTCTCTCCCTTATTAAGATCCTAAATCCTAATGTATGGGTCAACCAATTCCAATAGCCCAATCCATGTTAATACTCGGGTCCGCTCGGGTCGGGTCCGGTCGGATCGGATCGGATCGGATCCGTCACGCCTTTATATAAACCTTACACTTCAAATAACATTAGCGCGTCCCCTCTCTCTCTCCGCGGTGTCTTCTCGCAGACTGCAATTTCAAGCTCTCCAAAATCGAGGTTTCTCTATTTCATTACACGCGTGTGTGGATATACGTATATGTATCTATATATATCGATCGCAGCATAATCATCTTGCGTTTGCGACCTGTCAAACTCTTACACCGGTAAATTTTGATCGGTTGTTCCTACTTTTTTCCTCGATGTGTAAATACGATCTACTGTTTTCTGTATCTGTCGTGTTTTTTTTTTTTTTTTTTATTTATGGGGATAATTACGGCCGAATCGTTTAGGATTAGTTCAGATACTGCCTGTATTATGCTTTATTTGTTGTTGAAGGCGATGTCCAGATTTTACGGAAATTGATGTTTGGAGGTATTTTGTGGATTAAGGTTGAATTATTACGAAATATCGTCTGATGTTTTGTAATTAGGTTAAATTGATCATTGTCTTACAATTTCTGAAATATCCGAGGGTGAAGAATAGGAGAATTGAGAAACAAGAGATTCACATGAGGGAAGAGAGACAAACTGAGTGAGAAAATAGAGAGATAAAACAAGAGAAATAAAAATTGGTTGCGTTTATAGTGCCTGCTCAGTATCAGAATATGCAGCGGAATTGCCGAAGATGGTGAAATAGCAGAAAAGGATGACATTTGTATGGCTTATTGATAAATTTTCACTTATCTGAAACAAACGAGTAGCAACTAGATGCTTCGTCTGAATAATAGAAAATACTTGTGCATGTTCAATTCGATGACTGGGTATTCCACTTGCTTTAGATCTTGTGCTGAAGGATCAGAAAATGAGGAACCGGAAATGTCATAGCAATCTGTCTCTCCCAGGATTAACCATGTTGCTCTCATTTTAATCAATTTCCGCTTGGTGATTTCTAGTTTTCAGACTTTGCTTTCCATTGAAGGGGTAAGTTAGCTTACAGGAATTAGTACATCTAGGACCTCTCTTTTGTATTTAAATTCCTTCATACACGAGAAATGCCATAATACTGTTTGCATTAGTTTCAGCCTCTATTAAAAATGGCTTGAAAAATTGGGTAAGTGGACACTCGATTAATTACCGCAGGCTTGTTTGGTTGTAAAGCTGAGTCTGGTTTCCCTTCACTCCATTTAAAAACTTTCATTCTTCAGCATATAATTTGTCACTCTGATAACCAACCCCGTAGCCTCTAATGTGACTTATGTTATAGCAAGTATAGTATGACTTAAGTTCTCCAAATATTTGTTGTTTCATGGAGTGGGCTAGTTGACTGCTGTCACTTTGCTTGGATTAAGGTATGCCTCTTTCAAAGATGACATCCTTCAGTATTTTACTTGCATTTTGCCAAAGGAACGTTTTTATTTTCGGCATGTGACGATTCCTGTAATAGCTCGCACTTTAGTACTGCATTGTCCTTAAATGGAGAAATTTCTGAAGGCTTCATAAAATTATTTTGAGCAGGAGCTCATGTTTCACTGTTAGATCTCTGTTTTTTTTTTTTTTTGTTTGAGAAGATACTGGATTCTCTGTTGCAATCACTGGAAATAGTTAGCCTATAATCCTATAGGATCTCCCTTCCTAAGTAAATTCAGCAAACATTGACACGAAACTAGTTTCAGTTTATCTTTACTTTATTCAGCATTTAAAATGACCTTCCTCTGTATTCTGTACGGATGATTTCATACTTCTGTCAAACTTTCTGGACCATGTTCAGTGATAAATCCCCTCAGAATACTATGACATCCTCCCCAGTTTAATAACTCTAACTGGAAACTCAAAAGGGTTGCATTGAGTTTTGTTCTCTGTAAACAAGAGTGTATATGAGACAAATGGTGAAATACTTGGGCAGACGCAGATAATATTGTGAATAGTATTATTAGAGTCTTACCATCTTTTGACAGATCGTACCTGAAGTTGTTTCGTATATTCTCTAACGTAATGATGGAAAACTGCCACTCTTTTAAGTTATGAACCTTTTTGTTATCTTGTATCACACTTTTATGCTAAACGAGCATTGCTTTTGCTTGCAGAATAAAAAACATCAGTAACTGCAGACTGAGATAGTGAGATGGCAGAGTCTCAGAAGGGAGATTCTTCTTCTGTTAATATGAAGGAGAAAAACTCATTGCTAGGTATTATCATATTTTCTTGTTTATCATATTTACAGGAAGTACTTTTGTAGCTTATTAATTATTCAGCAAGAAGTAGGTGCATGGCTTTATTTTTGTTCTTTACTTTAGAAATTAGATCCCTAACACGTTTATTGTCGCTCCATCCCCTAGTAAGTAATCTAAGAGTCAGATGGAGCTAGGAATCTCATAAAAGCCATTTTTGACCTCAGACTGCATGTGACTTAAGTGGGAAACCCGACAGGGAAGCTGAATATGGATGAGATACATCCTAATTGTGGGACTTTTGATTTGTAACATTAGAAAACCTGTCTACTTCTATTATGTATTGCACCGCTGCAAGTGTATACTTAATATAAAACTATATAATCTTCATCTGATAGAAAATGCTATTCGTTGTTTGTTATGCTTAATGCAGATATGGATATTGGGAAGGACTTCCTTACTTCTTGGAAATCAATGGCAGAAGGAGATGGAATGGATTTTGACCTTACACCGGTCACTAAGGGCAATAAAAAATCATTTCAATTTGACAAAGCGTAAGTTTTATGAAATCCTTAGCTTATTTCTGATTTCATTAGTTTGATGATTTTGTAACTACAAAAATATGTATAGCGGAAGTTATAATGGTTTTGGCGTCTCTAGATGAATGATGCCTGGGCATTAAGAGCTAAATTCCCTGGAATTTTCTGTTAGCCTTTTGCTTCTCCATAATGCTTAATTATGGAGTTTCTGAGTATCAGTAAAGTTTATGGTTATCAAATATTTGACGATATGATTGGAGCTGGAGTTGAGAATGGCAGTTATTAGTTAGGACTAACGAAATTGCTGCCAAAATTTCAGGGATATGGATTTTAACTTGGATGCTGATTTTGGGAAGATGTCATCTTTCAATATGGATATGTCAGATCTAGATATCTCCCCGCCACTTAAAAAAGATGCAAAATCCAAGGAGTCGAAAGAATCATCCAGTGGAAAGAATAAAGGAAAAAATGATCGTTTTACTTTCGCATTTGATTTTGATGAGTAAGTATGCAGACACTGCTACTTTTTTAAAGTTCTTTTGTTGTATGTTTCTGTGCATACTTCATTTTGTCAAGGCCATTCTATATGAAGGCTGCATTAACAGTGTATTTACATTTCCTTAAATCTAGGTTGGATAAATACAATTTTGATTCAAGCCCAGCGAAAGAGGATTCAAAAGCTAGAAGGGACAAAGATAACAAAGAAAGTTTTCTCAATGGAAGTGCGTGTCAAGATAAGGAAGATGCTATGCACATGAACCTAATTGGAAATACGAGTACCTTAGAAGAAGTGCCCCAAAAGGAATCTGTACCCGGTACTGAGATTACTTTTGACATAGATAGTCTAGTTGAAGGGAGTGCAGATCTTGAACCCACAAGGAAAAATTGTCCCTCTAATTTGGCAATGGACGATGGTGCTACTTCAGAACATTCAGCTGTAATTGATGAAGTTGCATATGATAAAGCAAAGATCATTCCAGAGGCAACAATTGCTCCAATGGAATTATCAAAAACCAGTCGATTCAAAAATTTGGTTTCTTCAAAAGGAGTTGATCTTGAAGCTCATATTGGAACCGATCCCGTGCATGATTTGTCATTTGATACTCTCTCTAAAAATGAGCCAAATGGAGGTAATTCATCAGAGACAAAAGATAAGTCTGACTCCATCGATACAAATGGCACCGTCTCAAATGGAGAGAAAGATGTTAATATGATATCAATATCTGGCTCAACGTACAATTATGAACACACAATGTCTGATAACCCACAGCCCCTGCAGACTATTGCGATCCCAGAGAAGAATAGTGGTGAGAAGACTCAGGCTGGGCTTGAAAATCGTGTGATGGATAATAGAGAGAAAACTGAACGAGGTCAAGTTAGTGAACTAGTTGAAAAATCTCGTACAACTAGTGATGTATCAAAGGTGCTCTGTGACACACCACCTGGCAGAGAGAACCAGGAAAATGCTTCGAAAACCCTCAACTTATCCTTAGTCAGGTAAGATTATGTATGCCATTTTGTATTAAGCTCAAAGAGTTGTATTAATACGGAAAGTTTTATGAAAATGAACTCTTGAAATTTTGCTAATGGTGTTTGATCTGTGGTTTTCATAGCAAGTCCAGTCAACCAGCTGATCAGTTAGAGAAAGAAACAAAGAACAGAAGAGAAAACCTTGTTACCTGCTCAAGGTTTTTTATTCAGGCACAGAAACTTGAACGTCCGGTGCAGAAGGTGTCAACACAGACAACATTTTCCTCATTAAGTAGTAATAAGATGGGCTCCATTCAACCTGGTTCAGCTGAAGGCAGAAGGTCTGTTATATTTATAATTCAAAATATCTTCGTGAAGCATTCATTCTCAAATAAATTTTTCTTATGTAAAACAGGGACCGCGATAGTGTTCAAAGTGATAGAAAACTAGTTTCCCTACCCTTGCAAGATTCTAAAACATTATTAAGGAGGGAACCTCCACAGATACGGAGTAAGGAAAGCTCCAAAGTTCCAGCGATTTGCGGGTGATGCTCGTCCCACAATTCAAGTTTAAATTTCGGTTGAAGCCAAGGGTAATAAGAAGATTACTTTTAGTAATCTGACAAGAATGCCCTTGTTAACATTGTGCAGAGAGGTGAGCAGTGCTGATGGGTTACAAAATAGGAACAAACGGAACGATCCTTCTACTACAGAAAAAGAGGACATGGTGAAAACGAAACCTGCTCCGAGGCAAACAGAAGCGAGAATGAAGGATCTAGATACTCTCAGGTCTGGCATTATTTTCTTGCTCAATCTACTCGAAACTTTGATATTGATTCTCAGAATCAAATTCTTACGGTCTTTCACATTCTCAAGTTGTGTATCGTACTATTTATCGTTGCCTAGTTTTATTCCTGATAGTTAGATTTGCACTGGAAAGACGTTGATACTAATACTTCCATCTCTTTTTGTCTTTATTTCTGAACTTTTGGTAATTTTTTTATACACCATTATTCTGGCTATGAAATTAGGATGTTTAACTTAGATACATTACTAACAGTGGCGGGGTTATATTGTTGAAATCAAATAATTCGTGAAGAATTTGGATTTAATTGGTTTATCTCTGTGAAGCTCTGGTGCAGCCTTTCCCTGTTCAAGCATGGAGATGTTCAAAAAATCAGCATTTAACAGTGGACATCCAAGAATTTTAATGTCTCCAACAACAAAACTTACTTCTCTGGAAGAACATGCACTTTCTTCAATTGAACGTGGCAGAAAGACCTCCAATCCTCATGGACTAAAACTTTCCGGGTAAGTTCATCTATAAATCTTCACGAGTCTTTCTAAGGTTCTAGATGGAGAATTGTATATGTTGATGAAGTTCTATCCAATCTTAATCTTTCAGTTTGAGCCTTGAATCAACAAAATCCCCAGTTCGGAAAGATACTAAATCAGTGGGAAACAGCTGTCAGAACAGAGTTTTACCAGGAAAAACACCATCTGATATTGCCCGTATTCCTGACTCGCAGAAGAAAGCACCTTCTCCCTTACCTTTAAAGAGAAAAACTTTGGAGGTAATCCTTTTCATCTTTATGTAATGTTGAGAGATCAATAGTTATTTAAGTATCATCGAAGAAATCTAACTAAATGACCCCCAGAAGATGACTGCAATTTGTTTCTATAACAGGATAATGGTTCAGATATTATTGCATTGCATCCGTCTAAACGTCTCTCCCATTCACCAACTGCAAACAGGTTCATGTAAATCCATTACATATGATAATTGTTGAAAATGTTACTTTTTCGATTGCGTATTCTCTGGCATGATTGTTTGTGAAATCTGCAGAAATCTCATGGACGCATCAGAAAAGTTTCTTGACAAAAAGGTGATTTCACGAGTGTACTAGTGAAATCCTGTGAAAGCACCAGAAAAAATTCTCGAAAAAAGTTCACATGAATAAAATATTCGATCAGATTTTTTTTTTTTCCTTTACTAGGTACCCAGCACCAATATCAAGGAAAACGATCGCAGCATCAACAGTAAAATCGGCAATTGCCAAGTCTCGACACTTCACATTCCTCATGAAGCGAAGATTAAAGATTTTGAGATGTCAACATTCTCGATTCAAAATGACAACGTTAAACAGGCTGAAGCTTATGGCAAGGAACTTGATCATGTAAGAATAATTGTCGTTTCATAGCTTTTTCTGGTCTTGAATGGTGTGATGGGGGATAAGTTTTTTGTTTGTTTTGCAGCTATGCAACATGCTGAGGAAGAAACATGACGAAGCAAAAGAAATATTGGTTGGAGCTATTGTGAACAGCAATAAGATGCTGTTGCTCAACAATCCTCTTTTCGATGAGAAGATATCCTTCAAGCTTTCCTATAGTTATGCGTTCAATTTTTCGTAATACATGAAATAATGAAAATATAAATTGTGTGAACTTTAACTATCGATTACATTCGCGCAACTCAGGATTTATTTGCCAGATTAGCACTTGATGGGATTCATGGATGAAATCATCAGCTAGAGCATTTATAACCCGTACAAAGGTAGCGTCTCTCTCTCTCTCACACACACACACACACACACATATGTGTCTAACGGGATTTTGGAATGTGAAATGCAGCATTTTCATCAATAGTCTGGGGGACTGCTATTGTAGTTTGTTTTTCATTCTCAGCTTTGTTATGGTAAAAGCCACGATAATCATTTTAGTTCCTTTGCAGAAAAGGTTCTAACCAGTTTCATACCGATACTGTTCGTGTCCGTCTCGTTGGTTGAGGTATACTAACGTAGGCATTAGCTGGTTTAGTCACGAATACAGGTATTTAGCATGCATTGCCTAGCTATTATCATATCAACTGGTGTTCGATGTTTCGAAATCTATTGCATCACACACGAACAAATTTTATACAAACGTGTTAAACAGAAAGAAAAAAAATCGACTGAGTTGTAACGAGTAGCTTGCGAATTGTCCAAATTGGATGGTCCCGATAACAATTCCGGCGTATACTATACAGTTGTAATAAAAGAACCGTGACATCAAATACTTGGTAGTTAGCTAGCCCTCTGGCCTGAAGGTTTGGCTGGTTTTTGAAATTTGAAGGACCACTCACTAATTGATAAGATTGTATAGAATGGGTTTTCATTTGAGTTTGACATCACATATGAAATGTATGTATTCTAGATTATGTTTCTTTAATTTAGAGAAATAAAATACTCAAGCTGTTCTCGTAAATTACTGTCACACTGAGGTAAGGTCCAATTATGAAAAAATCCCTTATGTTTGGGTATTACAACCATTCATCCCTTCAATTATGAATCTTCTTACACGTCTACCTTTGCGTCGTCAAGTTTAATGAAATCTTCTACAATATGTGGAATATTCCACAGTTTGTACATGTTTTACCCCAGTTTGAAACAAGATGATCTAAGATGTGTCTTTTTCCTTGTAAATATCAGATTGTGGTGCTTTAAAAACTTCATTTTTTGCACAAACACAAGTGCAAACTAGAAAATATTCCACGAAATCTAGAAGATCCTATTAAATTTAATACGATAAAGGTGGAACTGTAAGAAGATTTACGGTTGATGGTAATTGTAATTATTTAGTCAAGAACAATTTTTCGTAATTTAACATTACCGAAAGAGGTGGCCGTAATTTACCGATTTTCCAAAACTAAACTACTTTTTAATATAGTTAAAACAACTAAAGTTAAAGATATAAGTAAAAGGTGAAAAATTCTACCTTTATTTTGACACACCGCCTACTCCCATTATCTTTAAGATATAGTAAGTTTTCCCTTCTCTAAATTCATGGAAATTTCGGTCAAAATAAAAAGTAAACTTTTATTTTGTTATTTTCTTTAATAATATATGTGCATAAAAAAACGATTTTTTTTTAATTCTATCGATTACAATCCAAAAGGAAAATTCGAGTTAGAACATTTTTTTTGTTCAAGTCCAAATTGTTCTGAAAAAAAAAAGGTGGAATTGATTTTCACTTTGGAATAAATTTTTAAGTTTTTCAAAAGTGTGTCCGTCCAATTTTTACCCCTAATTGGAAAATAGGAAGCATTAGTGTATACAAAATTGATTAAAAATCATCAAAATTCACAATCAAATTCGTTGACAAAGTGTATTAGAAAAATAAAAAGGAATGGAGAATTTTGCATAATATAATCAGCAACATATATGGGTACAAAAAAATAAAAAATAAAAAATAATAATAATAATAAAAAATAGAAAATAGAAGCATGGCGCACGTGGTGGTGGCACACTGGTTCTTGGAATTCGTTAGGTAAAGATAAAAACCAGGGGCTCCGGGGACTGAAGTGGAGAACACTGTAGCTGGGGTAGGTAGGTGGTGTTGATTTTTCTTTTTTTCAATTTTCAATTTTCAATACCAAAATTTTCTTTTTTCCTCACCTACTTTGGCAATCGCCATTTCGTTTTCAGACACTTCTTATTATTTATTTAGCCGCATTTTTCATTTCCTTTTTCTTGTTTTTGTCACTGATTTTTATTGAAGATTCTTTCCCCTGGTCTCAAGTATGTTAGAACAAATCTTGGCATCTTTTCTTTTTTTTTTTTATTCTATTTTTCAAGATTTTTTTGCTGCTATATAATCAGGAGTCTGCATTTTAGTTCTCATTGGATGAATTCAATTTTTTTGTGTGAAAAAAATTCAGGTTTTTTGGTAATTCATGGGAGGTATGGATTTCTTGGCTACATCTGAAGGGCAATTGTTTGTTGGTGTTGCTGTTGCTCTTGTTGCTGTTGGTGCTGTGTATTTCTTGTTTTCCTCCAAGAAGCCCAAAGGTATTCGATGAAATGTCTAAGAGAATAAAATTCCACTTTTTATTGTGTTTTTTAATGTTGTTTCTGTCTAATATATGTTGATTGTTGCTGGGTTTTTGTCTGGTGGCTTGCATTGAGCCTAAAGATGATGTATTTGGTTCTTCAATTAAGAAAATCTTCATTTTCGGCTTAATTTTGTATGTAATATGAAGTGGGTTGATTTTAATTTAACCATTTCATGTATGGATTTGGGGTCTGTGTTTCGATTTGTTCGAGTGGATTTTGCATTAGTTTTCGAGGAGGATAAGAAATTACGAACACGTTCTTGCATGTTGTATATAAGACCTTCTATGTTTTATATTGTCGAATCTCTACTTATTAGTATATCTTCTCTGCTTGACAGTTTGCTTGAATCCCGAAACTTTCAAGGAGTTCAAGCTTTTCAAGAAAACGCAACTCAGCCATAACGTAGCAAAGTTCAAATTCGCTCTTCCTACACCCACTTCCGTTTTAGGCCTTCCCATAGGGCAACACATAAGCTGCAGGTTAATTTTGTCAAAATTAATATCTAATAGAATTCGTTTTTAATTGGTTTATATATGGCGTACCGTTTACAATTTGTTCGGTGGAATGGTTTTGTTACAGGGGCAAAGATGGTCAAGGTGAAGAGGTCATTAAACCATACACTCCAACTACTTTGGATTCCGATGTTGGGTATTTTGAGTTAGTTATAAAGGTGCGTTTCCCTATATTTTCACCACCCGTTTATTTGTTTATGCAATAGCATTAATACTTATCAAATTTGTGCTCGATGATAGATGTATCCACAAGGAAGAATGTCTCATCATTTTCGAGAAATGCGTGAAGGTGATTATATGTCCGTCAAAGGACCAAAGGTACAATGCTGTAATCCTATTTAAGACTTAATCTTTATGCGATTTAATTTTTTTTATTATTGTCGGCACCCACATACCCCTTTCCTCAAATTCAAAACGAGAAGAACAAAAATTAAATGAAAAATGAAAATTTACGTGGAAGAATTTTAGAGACAAGTTTTTTTTTTCCTAGAAGCTACTGGTGCTGGATTGCTTTCTATTGGTTATGTCGATTTAATTTGATATTTACACACACACACACACACACACACACACACAGACACACACACACACACACACACACACACACACACACACACACACACACACACACACACACACACACACACACACACACACACACACACAGAGATATAAATCTTGAAAGCTGATTTTGTTTGTGGTTTATTTAAAAAAAATAGGGTCGTTTTAAGTACCAACCGGGCCAAGTGAAAGCATTCGGAATGCTTGCTGGCGGATCTGGAATCACACCAATGTTCCAGGTTAATAATATTCAACAAAATTATATTCGTGTTTTTTCCTCAATTATTTTCTTTTTTTTTCATTTATCGATTGACCTTTAACTAGATTAATTTGTCGTAGATGGAAAAAGGTTGCTAATTTACATATCTTGTTATTTATTTTTCGGTTTCGATTTTAGGTTGCTAGAGCAATCCTCGAAAACCCAAGTGACCACACAAAGGTGCATCTGGTTTACGCTAATGTTACTTCTGATGACATTCTGCTAAAGGTAATAAATATCAGCGGAATTTTTTTGTAAATGAATTTAATTATAGAGGCAATGTTTGTTAATTATCCTATTATCTTATTACGATGGATCCTTGTTACAAATGTTTTTTGCCTGAATACGGTTATTTGTTGGTTGCAGGATGAATTAGATAGTCTTGCAAAAAACTACCCAGACAGGTTCAAAATTTACTACGTACTTAACCAGGTAATTTCTTGATATTACATATCCTTTTTACGGCATTCCGAACAATTACAATTTCGCTTGGATTCTTTTTTTGCTCTCATAATCAGTAATATATAAGTCTTGGGTTTATAAATAGGCAGCCATGAAAATGTGATATTTTTTCCTTAGTTTTTACGCTCTATAAATACTTAAATATATTTGTACGCACATACACTTAGATGTGTGCGTGTTTCGGGTTTTTGGGTTTTCGGGTTTTTGTGTTTCGGGTTTCGGTTTGAGTTTTACCGCATTTTACAGCTTTCTTGATCTTATATACATTATTAATTAATTATTGTGCCCATGTATGTTTGTAGCCTATGTTTTATGTTTAATAGGAGGCTGAAAATAAGGCATTTTAAAGTCTTCGATTATGCATAATCAGGGGTAAATGTGTCTTTTTGTCTTCGTTTACGAGGGTACTAACGATAGCTAGGAATTTGGTGAAAATTCCTTAAACATTAAAACCGATTGCATCTATAATATATATGTTAAATTTGATAAGTGATTATTTTGTTTGATTTTGCAAAAGCCCCCGGAAATTTGGAACGGTGGAGTTGGTTTCGTGTCAAAGGAAATGATTCAAGCTAACTGCCCTGCACCAGCATCTGATATTCAGGTTCGAATCGAGCTTTATTAAATTCCGAAAAATAAACCAAAAGTAATTAATACTATAAATGGATAATTTAATTATTAATTTGGTGTTACAGATATTGAGATGTGGTCCACCTCCAATGAACAAGGCTATGGCTGGTCATCTTGAGGCTCTTGGATATTCTTCTGAGATGCAATTTCAGTTCTAATTTTTGCCCTTGCCATTTTTTTTCTTCTAATTTAAACTTTATTTTCGGGTAAAATTACGTTCGAATATTAGGATATAATTTTGCTTCCCTTATTTTTTATTCTGCAATAATGATTTTCAGAGAAATTGTAAACCTTAATCTTTTGTCAATCATAATTAAATAAATTATCCCTTGGTTGAGTTATTTATGAGCTAGATTAAAATAAGATATGAAAAAGAAACAAATTAATAATATTTTCAATTTCAAGGGTATTTGAGCCTTTTCACATCAAAAAATATACTCCCGGTTGTAGATATGGCGAGTGTAGTGCACGAATGGCTCGCAGGGGCTTTATTGATCTTGACTAGATTTTATGGGGGGTTTCTTGCTAATTTTTTAGCTCATGGGTATTTTTTGACAATTAAAAGTTACAGAAGGATGGTAAATGCTAAAACCCTAGCATTACAAGGTTGAATCGATATTGTTTTAAGTTTGTTTGAAGTGTTATCGAGTTTCAAAAAATTATACTACTATAGCCTTTCACCTCATTTACGATAAATTCTTTGGTGCGTGTATAATATGCAGTGCATATTTTTGTCTACGGTTTCACTAACAACCCCTCAAGAAACAAATATAGTGCATATCGGTCCCCTAGACATGAAATCTTGGCTCCGGTAATTTGTTTCAGGGAATGGCTGTAATTGAAAAAACTACAAGGACCTTAAAATATTTTAACATTCCTCAGGGGTGTACATGTAATTTACCAAACAATATATAAAATTCAAACTAACCTTCTCATTAATTGTTTTCAATTAGTAGTAGGGGTGGTAAACGAGCCGAGCCGGCTCGTGAACTCGACGAGCCGGCTCGACAAAGGCTCGAACTCGAGCTCGGATTTTTCGCCAAATATAGTTGTTCGCCAGCTCGCTAGCTGGTTTTTTTTTTTTTTTTTTTTTTAATATTTTATATATTATATATTATATATTATAATAATAATAATTATTATATATTATCTATTATTATTATTATTATTATTATTATTATTATTATTATTATTATTATTATTATTATTATTTTATAATGTTTTTCATTAGTTTTAAAAAAATATATAAATATTTTTTAATAAAAAATTAATATTAAAAAAAAGCCAAAAAAAAAAAAGACATAATGAGCTCGAGCTCGAGCCCAAAAAAAATAACTCCATGAGCTCGAGCTCGGCATAATGGACTCGAGCTCGAGCCTGCCAAAACAGCCGAGCTCGGCTCGTTCACATCCCTAATTAGTAGTATTTTTTTGTCAACTAATTAGGGCCAATTATACTACCTAGGATCTATCAATACTTGGAAGTTGAACCTGTCTTAGTTAAAACCTGTTTGAATCATACTACAAATATACGTTTGAATAAATTTCATGTCATGTGATTATTTAAACGAGACCTTATAATAAAATGTTTTTTTACACATTTATCAATGAATTTTCTGATTTGCATTCATTAAAAAAAAATTAATTTTCGATGCTGATTCTGCTCACAATTAAATTAATGTTCTGCTCATAATTTCAAATCTCAAGAAACATCATGTGACAAGGTTTTCTGTGATTGGTTCGTATTGAATGAACCGGAATAAGTGCAGTAAAAAAACCTACACTCTCGTATATAGTTTGCATGTAAATCACAGTACGATCTAACAATCGTTGGCAAGATAATTCGAACTTGGGTCAATTGACACAAGTTTACTTGCTACAGTCATTAGGTCATCCTTACGGGACAGAACAGTAACAAAGTTAAATTATAATTATTAAACGTTTTTGTAATTTATAATTTTCAATTAAGAAATCAAAAATCTTTAAACTTGTGGATATTAGTAATTATCTGATAATAATATTTTTTTTCTTAAAAAAAATTGGTGATAGATTTTTTATGAAAGTGTACTTAATTTATAATACTTTTTTTTTTTTCGTCGTGGATTTTTTTTAATAATTATTTTGTCATTCTGGCAGTTGGAGCAAGTGAGCCTTTGATAGTTGACCAAAGTTCGTATTCTCGTGTACCTTGCCAGCTATTATACGAGAATAAATGTATCTAGTGCACCTATATGGTTGCACGCATATTTAAAAAAAAAAACTAGGAAAACATTTAGGAAGATTGCATAATTTTGCAATAACAATTGATTTTCTTTAACTATTTATTTATTTATTCATTTATCATTAAATTTTTTATTTAAACAAGGCAAAACGAAGGAGAGACCGCTTCTTCAGATTCTTCCTACTATCATGCTGCACAAAAAATATTAGACAAAATAAATAAATAAATAAATATTTATTTCTTGAATTAAATAAAAATAAAATAAAATAAAAGCAAGTAGGAAAATACAGAGAGACAAAAGCTGGATACGTGCTAAAGAAAACAGCAAAATAATATGTACAATAATATAAATAAATATTAGAAATCACACTTTTGTCCATTTTCGGTGCAAGAACTCCTCTCACTTTCATTTGTCTTCTCTTCTCTAATTAATTTCTCAAATACTTGAGATAAAGAACCTGATAAATCAAAATCCATCTGGGTTTTGTATTTTCTTGCACATTTTGTTTTCATGGTGTCAACTTTTCAAACCAACATTTTCTTCCCCAATATTTTATCTTTTTTTTTCTCTCTCTCTCTCTCTCTCTCTCTCTCTCTCTCTCTCTCTCTCTCTCTCTCTATTTCTGAATCTCTGTAGTTTATTGGGTTTTCCGAAACCAGATTCTTTACCGTTTCGATTTTCTACATACATGCAACCTAATTCGTTGATTAGAAATGCAGAAAGTGCGAAAAAAATGACCTGATTTTGAATGCCTTTTATGTGTTTGCTTATTTTCCTCAATGAGTAGTTTTCCTTAGCTACCCTCAAAAACTAAATCTTTTATTCCACCTTAGAAATCAGAAGGGCCAGTGTTTGATAGAATATTTTCTTTCGGTCATCATCATGCTTACACTTCTAGTTCAATAAATTCTTGAAAATATTGTAGGAATTTTATTTCTTCTCTGGTTTTTGAATGTCAAAAAACAAAATGTGGCTCATTTCCCACAAATTCCTGTTCTGTTTGTTCTTGATGACATCGACGTTGTTGATACTATCTCGATTGTTAACCCTGAGATCGACGGGTGGGCCCTATTCTCTCGATTCTATTACATTCTCGAGCTCCAACATTCTAACAATGGCAGAAACTGAGAATCTTGATTCATCTTGTTACACAAATAACCAAATTCTCAAGGTTTTCATGTACGATTTGCCCCCTCAATTCCACTTCGGCCTATTGGGTTGGAAAGCCGCGGGCCCTACTGTATGGCCCGATATTCGATCACAACAAGTCCCCGAATATGCAGGTGGATTAAATTTACAGCACAGTATAGAGTATTGGCTCACTTTAGATCTCTTAAACTCAGAATTCTCGAAAAATCTGAGTGGCAGAACCGCGGTTAGAGTGCGTAACTCTAGTGAAGCCGATGTTATCTTTGTCCCGTTTTTCGCATCCATTAGTTATAATAGGTACTCGAAGGTGAAGACTAGAGGCAGTAAGAAAAGTATTAATGATTTATTACAAGAAAATTTGGTTAGTTTTTTGTCTGCTCAAGAGGAGTGGAAAAAATCGGGTGGAAAAGATCATATAGTGGTTGCTCATCATCCGAATAGTCTTTTATATGCAAGGATGAAGCTTTGGCCTGCGATTTACATTCTTGCAGATTTCGGGAGGTACCCTCCAACGGTGGCTAATGTTGAGAAAGATGTTATTGCACCTTACAAGCATTTGATCACGAGTTATGTTGATGACAAATCCGATTTCGATAGTCGTAAAACTTTGCTCCATTTTCAGGGATCTATTTACAGAAAAGATGTAAGTATTTGTCGCTTTTAAGTTAAATATGCTATTTTGCGTTTCTGATGATAAATATGTTATATTGGTTTAACATTTCTAGTAATGATTGTTGATGGCTTGATTCTCTACATGCTGCTGTGAGTTTATATATGGAATCTGTCTGATTAAGCCTTGTTTGGTTGGTAAGATTAGCCATGATTAGTTAAACAATCGGACCTCATTGGATGTTTGGTTAGTCTAATAAATTTTTGGGGTTGGCCTGTAATTGTGGAAAAAAAATGGCTCGAATCTTGGCTAATTGGGAGATCTTTATTTATTATACCTCCCATGGTCCAATAATATTGTTGAATTTTCATACGATAATTTAATTTTATCTTGGCTAATCTTATCTTAGGAACCAAACGAGACCTCAACTGCACGTATCCGAGTTTGATTCGAACTCGAAAAACAACGTTTCTGTTCTATTACATACCTTTGATTCCATTGAACCTCTTACATGATGTGTTTCAAAGCATATAATTCCAATTCTTAAGAAATATTTGACATTTATAGTTTCGTAGTTTTGTTTCAACACTTCATTTATTTTTCTCATTTTTTCAGGGTGGAATAATTAGGCAGGAATTATACTACATGCTAAAAAACGAAAAAGACGTGCATTTCTCATTCGGAAGCATCCAAGGCGACGGAATTAGCACGGCATCCAAAGGGATGCACTCTTCGAAATTCTGCCTCAACATTGCAGGCGACACCCCTTCTTCGAACCGACTCTTCGACGCTATAGCCAGCCACTGCGTGCCTGTAATAATCAGCGACGACATCGAACTTCCGTTTGAAGACATCATCAACTACTCCGAGTTCTGCATATTTGTCCCTTCATCGGACGCTGTAAGAGAAAATTTTCTCATAAATTTAATTAGGAATATTAGTAAGGAGAAGTGGACAAGAATGTGGGAAAAGCTAAAAGAAGTGGAACATTTCTTCGAGTTTCATTATCCTTCGCAAGAAAATGATGCTGTGCAGATGATATGGAGGGCGATTCTCCGGAAGGTTCCGTCTATTGATCGAAAGATTCATAAGTTGGGAAGATTTTCTCGTGGGGTTGTTAGTGGAGAAAGTGGGCTTCGCTCGATTTCTGTGCCGAGGAATTTTTGGTGAAATTCGAGGGAAAAAGATGTGTTGTTGAAGATTGTAGGAGCTCTGCTCTCTATTTGAAACCAAGCTTTAAAAAGTAAGGTCTCTCTCCTTTTTTTTTTCTTGTAAGTTATGGAAAAATTACGGCCACCTCCTTGAGTTATGGTCAAATTACGAAAATCCCCCTCCTGTTTGACCCAAACAGCCACCCCCTTCAACTATGTATTATCTTACGAAAAGACCCCTCCAGAGGTAAATTTACGAAAAGACCCCTCCAGAGGTAAAACCGAACCGAAATTTCGGTACGTCAAAATTTCATACCCATTTGGTTCGGTAAATAACCGAATTATATAAATTTTATGTAAAAATATTTAAAAGGAGGGGGTGACTGTAATTACCGAAACAAGAGGGGGGATTTTGTAATTTAGCCATACCTCAGGGGGTGTCTGTGATTTGCGCTATAATTTAATTTTGTAATATATATATTTTTAAATATTAATTTGTATATTTTTTTACCAACAGGTAGTAATTGTGAAGATAGTTGATCCAGAAATATTGAAGATTTGATTTTAAGGATAAGACAATGTTGTCAAAATCAGCAGAATGATGGAAGAGAGGGGTTGTATTGATTTATTTTTGCTGCTTTATTTTGTTTTGACAAATTTTGTTGTACCGATTCCAACCTCGCGGATTTATCTGAATCGAGATTTTTATCGGGCTTCGAAAAGGGAATGGCTTCTAATTGTAATACGTTGCAAGTATAATTTCACCAGTGTCGAAATTATCTAGCGAATTTGTAACACCTACGCAACAATTACGTTGACATAACATGTGCGTTAGTGTTACGGTCAAATTTATGTTACACGTATATGGATTAGCGTGTATCTTAGTGTGTGAATGAATATAGCTATGATATATTCCGCATGGTGTAGCATGAAATAAATTGCGGCGGCGTTTTTTTTTTTGGGGGTTGTTTTGGAAAGAGTAAACAAAATAGGATTGTTTTGAAGAGTGTAACCAAAATAGAGTCTGTCGCCCGACGACTTCATGACGTGTCTCCACGTTCAGCGATGACATTAAATCCCAACTTTTAATTTTTTTTATTTTTTTTGAATTTTCAACATTTTGGTTATCTAAAAAAACCTAAAATATAATAAAATATAAAATACATTTTTTAGCATCTTTTTAATCTAAAGAAAACATAAAATACATTAATTTTATTCGAATTTTCATTATTTTTTTCAGCATTTTTATAATCTTAAAAAAATACATTTTTGTTGCCGCTGACCGTGGCGACACAACATGATGTCGCCAGGCCACGTAGCGGCAGACTCTATATCGGTTACACTCTTCGAAACAACCCTATTTTGTTTACCATTTTCCAAAACAACCCCCAAAAAAAATATTAATCCGTCACTGTAAAAATAAAACAAAATTTATGTTTTTTGTTCCCCTTACCGGTTGTTGAAACTAATATATGATAGAAACAAAATAAACGATCATTCCAAAGTGAGTGGTCGCCGAAGAAATACGCAACAGGGCGAACATTTGCAACCATGGCTGCAAAACCAATAGTTGCAAGAAGTTGAAGAGTGAGTATTGAATGAAAACCCATCTCAAATCCGGGCTTTCTTGCATCAATGGGTAAAGCATCGGTTCCAGCTTCCACGTGGAAAAATACGATGTTCTGTATTTCTACTGTATCAAATACAAGTAACGATCGGCTTATTTTTTTTTTTCTTTTTCAGATAGATTATCAGGTAACAAAAAAGGGTCCTTTATATAGATTCAAGTCAATAGGGAACAATGGCAGAGTCCATGAAAGGCTGCTACCTAGTAGCTGGAAATTCAAACAGAAAATAAAACAATAATGCAAATTGGCAATTAAAATGAAAAGCAAGAAAACGAGCACATGCTAATATGCTCGGTTTCTAGTATTGTAATATCAAATGAGAAGAAAGTGAAGCAACTCGGTTTAATCTGACTATCGGCAACTCTGAAAACGGTCATCAAGGAAAGGAAGAGATTGATGACATCCAAATAGAGTGCAACGGCAGCCCAAATGTACTGATCGTACATATATCGTTTGATCAGATTATCAGTGTCGTAAACGATGTACCCGAAGAATATTATGGAGCCGTAGATCATTACGCTTATACGACCCAATGGGAAGAAAATCTGAAACAAGAAATTGTATAAACAAACAATCACATAAATGAACAATCGGCTTTGATGCATATTTCGATCGTAATTTATTCTTGTAAGTCGAATATGACGATTTGATATTAAATAATGAAAATGCACCAAAGTGAAAGGGTCCGAGGAAATTGAAATTGTGCCCTCTCTTTGCAGCCCAGAATGTGTACAAGGTTAGACTTATCATCACTGCAGCAGTTAAGATTACGGATTCCAGTATCACTTTTCCTGCAACTAAATTCAAATCATCCCAATTCTTTTGTCAATCAATCGATAATAAATAAATCGAAACAACCATATAATAATAATAATTAAAAAAAAATAACAAGTGGATGCCATGCCATTGATACAAAATACAACTTGAATGTCATAAGCAGATAACAGAAGTCCATCTCAAGTTTCTTTATGGGAATTATAGGTAACAGAACAAGACAAATCACAATCCACAAATATCCGAAAAACAGACGGTTACAAAAAGAAGACCTTGCAAAAAATCAAGAACGGAGAGAACCACTTACCACTTGTGAAGGCACATGTCAACCCCACAGCAAAAGCAAGAGACAGAGTGAAAGTACCAAGAAGGAAATAATTCCATGGTTGCCTCTGGTAATAGTAATACAAAGGGCACAAAACTGCAAAAAAAAAAAAAAAAAAACCCATTTCACCAAACAACAATAATTTCAAAATTAAATACCAATAAAAATAAAACAGTACCACCTAAAATAAAATAAAAATTGTGGCGATTTTGTGGAAACAATCGACCAACCAATGCGGAGCTGCATCGTCGCCGGATTATTACCTCACCTGCATGCCCACGTTGCGGAGCTAGTAATGAATCGGCGTTACATATCATCGCAACATGCAAAGGAATGAACCAGGTTTCGGAAAAACCACCTTTTGGCATCAACCCAACTGTTGCAAGAAAGAATAATTTCAGTTTTTCTTTGACATTCATAGAGATATTATTTATTTTTTAGCGGAATAAATTGATAAGCACTGCGATCAATGTCCAACAAGAGAATGCAATTCTTGCTGCCTCATTGAACCAGTCCTAGCATAATTTAATTTTGGGAATCTTTTGGTTTCGCCCTGCCAGGGCTCATCAGGGGTTCGGCACCAGAACCCGACCAAATAATTTATTTTATTTTTATTTTTTTTATAAATAAGGAAAATGCTAAAAAAAATGCATAATTACATTATGTTTCAAACAATCAAGGTTCCACAAGATAAAGCAAGGAATTTTTAATTTTTTTTAACTAGTTTGTAGATAAACTCAAAATTGATAAATAAGTGTAATGTGTGGTGATTAATATACCGTGGATTTAGCCAGTCAGTCAATAGCTTTCACTCTGACTCATGGCAGCTCTTTCGCACGAAGCTTCTGACGGAACTCTATCTTTGATGGTAGCTTTTTTTTCATAAGTAGCATTAATTCGCTCATCGGAGTAGGTAGCTTTTTCCATTTGCACTAAATTTTTAATTAGCGTGGTAGCTCTCACTCTATCTCTCGAGGCAGCTTTTTCTCATGACTAGCTCTTCACTCATCAAAGTAGGTAGCTTTTTCCGTACGCGCGTCGTAGGTAGCTTTTAGTCCTCCGTGATAGGTTGCTTTGTTTTCTGTCAAAGGCCTCTGAATTATATTTTCATGGTTAAATCTAATAACGTGGATTTAGCCAGTCAGTAGCTTTCACTCTGACTCACGGCAGCTCTTTCGCACGAAGCTTCTGACGGTAGCTTTCACTCTATCTTTGACGGTAGCTTTTTTTTCATAAGTAGCATTCACTCATCGGAGTAGGTAGCTTTTTCCATTTTCACTAAATTCTTAATTAGCGTGGTAGCTCTCACTCTATCTCTCGAGGCAGCTTTTTCTCATGAATAGCTTTTCACTCATCAAAGTAGGTAGCTTTTTCCGTACGCACTTCGTGGGTAGCTTTCACTCATTTGAGCCAGGCAGCTTTTTCTGTCAAAGGCTTCCAAATTCTATTTTCATGGTTGAATCTATTTTCAAAATCAGATACACACCGTGCACAATTTAAGTTCACACAAACCTAATAACTTCACATAACGAGCAATCGGCCAAAGTGCAATGGATGGTGATTAATCGTAACGTGGATTTAGCCGGTCAACAGTTTTCACTCTTGACTCACAAAAGCTTTTACTAACGAAGCTTCTGACGTTAGCTTTCACTCTATCTTTGACGGTAGCTTTTTTTCATAAGTAGCATTCACTCATCGGAGTAGGTAGCTTTTTCCATTTTCACTAAATTTTTAATTAGTGTGGTAGCTCTCACTCTATCTCTCGAGGCAGCTTTTTCTCATAAAGAGCTCTTCACTCATCAAAGTAGGTAGCTTTTTCCATACGGGCTTCGTGGGTAGATTTCACTCATTTGAGCCAGGCAGCTTTTTCTGTCAAAGGCCTCCAAATTATATTTTCATGGTTGAATCTATTTACAAAACCAGATATACACCGTGCACAATTTAAGTTAGAACAACCTAATAACTTCACATAACGAGCAATCGGCCAAAGTGCAGTGGATGGCGATTAATCATAACGTGGATTTAGCCGGTCAGTAGCTTTCACTCTTGATTCACGAAAGCTTTTACTAACGAAGCTTCTGACGGTAGCTTTCACTCTATCTATGATGGCAGATTTTTTTCATAAGTAGCATTAATTCACTCATCGGAGTAGGTAGCTTTTTCCATTTGCACTAAATTCTTAATTAGCGTGGTAGCTCTCACTCTATCTCTCGAGGCAGCCTTTTCTCATGATTAACTCTTCACTCATCAAAGTAGGTAGCTTTTTCCGTACGCGCTTCGTAGGTAGCTTTTAGTCCTCTGATTCAGGTTGCTTTTTTTTTTTTCTGTCAAAGGCCTCTAAATTATATATTCATGGTTAAATCTATCTTGGCATATCATTCCGCTAGATTTTGAATTCAAATACAGCTTAATCAATTTTATTTTCCCACATTGCCAGAACATAGAATATTCAGAACCAGATATACAATGTGAATAATTTAAATTTACTCAAACCATAATCAAATATATTTCATGTAGAATATACTGCATCAAATAGACTTAACAAATAAATAAAAAAGAAAAAGAAAAATATGAACAGACAAATAAAAGAAAAAAAATATGAACAAAAGACATGAAGAGAGATAAACTTAGGAGTAACCCCAGCTACTAAATCACAAAAGAACATGCATCATCAATCACGAGTAATATCAAAATTAAGGAAAATTAAAGTATTCGGCTCTGATACCATACCATGTAAAAACAAGAGAAATATTAAAAGTATTCGGCTTGCCGAGTAGTAATTCATTCATGTGGAATTTTCATACAGATCCTGCCCAACACTCTGAACAATCCCAATTTTTCATGAAGATTGACTCAAAATTAGTTTAGGGATATTCGTGCGGAAATTTGAAATTATTTTCGCGGGTGTTTTTGTTTCAATTAATAATAAAATACGGATTTGAGGGTTTGTTTGTTTGAAATTGGTCGAAGCTAGGGTTTCCGAATTTGAGGGTTTGTGATTTTATTTAAACTCGCAAGCAGCAGGCCTCGATCCATTGATCAGATCAGATCTCAATTGAAAAAGAAATCAAGCAGAAGAAGAAGAAGTAAAGGAATGTACGTACTTACAACACGACGAAGGCGAACGACGTCGTAACACTCATATCTGCAAACTTCTTCTCTCTCTGGGATTTGGTGTGGAAATATTTTTGGGATTTGAATGTTATTTATAGACGAGTCTCCTAATCCTAATCCAAGTCCTACTAGTACTACGGCTCTTTTTCATACTACTATTTCACACGTGTCAAGTTCTGCTTTTACAATGTGTGCATATTTTTTAGGGTAAATTATACCTAATAAAATGTATTTTATGTTTTTTTTAAGATTAAAAAAATGCTAAAAAATTTATTTTATGCGTTTTATATTTTTATTGATTTTTTATGTTTTTCTTTTAAGATAACAAAAATGCTGAAAATTCGAAATTAAAAACAAAAATTCAGATTTAATGTTGCCGCTGTCCGTGGGCTGACCGTGGCGACACGTCCTGAAGTCACCACTCCACGTGGCGACACATCATGAAGTCGTCAGGCCACGTGACTACAGACTCAATTTTGGTTACACCCTTCAAAACAACCCTATTTTTATTTGAAATACATATTTTCAAGTTTTCTTTTTTTTCGAAAAATATTTTCAAGTTGATAAGGTAAAAATCGCAATGTGTTGATATATAAGGAAAGACTGCAAACTTACTCTCCAGACCAACCAAATGATGCAATGTACAAACTAACGCGCTCTATATCGAGCCATAATATTTAAATTCCGTTTCAAAACAAGCACACAAACATAGGAGCTTGCCAAATATCATTGCTCTATGAAAATTACAATCCAGAGCCTAATATTGAAATCTCGGTTATCAGGTCAAGAAACACAAGTACGTAAGGAATTCTTTAAAGTACACAAGATCGGATAAATATATATTCTCCGATATTTCCACTGAGTTCATCCAAATGTCTCAATGAGGAAACCCTTGTAGATGCTCATGAACTTGGCTACGAATGCTGCATTTATAGATCGAAATTAAAAATAATAATATTAATAAAAAAATATTGCTTTAGATAAACAATTCAAAAAATCACAAAATCCAACATTATCGTGTGACGTACCTTCAAGGTGAAATATTGCTTTCTGTCCAAGACGCAACCTATGTTCCTGACGAAACATGTTGTTGCTTTAGATATAATAACATAACTTCGTTGAGGAAAGAAATATTGAAATATAGCAGATGATACCAGCCATGCATATATCAAATAATTATTAATCGAATATAAACATTGGCTATAAATATTAAAGAAAAATCCTCGAGTGAGGAATTGCATGGGGAGAAAGAAAAAACGCAGTGAAGTCATATATACTTACATAATACGCAGCCCAATGAGAGATCTCATGCTTCAGTTCCATATCCAATTTCTTCAACAATTCAGAGAGCAGCCTCTGCAATTATATAAACAAAAAAAATATATAAAAAATTCCAACTATATATCAGTAGTTTTAGTTGTATATTCGTTGAATTTGAGAAAACGGGTGGGATTGGAAAGCACAAAATCGAACCTTTAAAATAATTTCTGGAGGAATGCAATTGATGAGTAGCTCATATAGCTTTCCCCGAACCTCAAACAACCTAGACAAAGTATTGTACTAGTCATTAAAAATCGGGTTGCTTATGACAGTGATAACAAGTAACAACATTAATTATAATTACAACTAATAAGAAAATTAACAACAGGGTAAGTACAAAAGTTACAAGTTGTGTCATGTCATAGTGGTAAAATAAAGGGTAAATTACGAAAACCCCCCGAACTTAGGTTAAATTGCGAAAACACCCCCAGCTATCCATAATTACCAAAATTATCCCGACGTTTGTTCCCGTATTACACCAACGCCCTTACGCTGTGATTTTTCAAGAAATCTTTTTTATTAAAGGGAATATTCCCCGAAAAATGTCAATTTTACCCATGCAGACGAGGCATTTTTTATGCTACTTTTGAAAGATAAAAGTTACCCTATGGGGCCTTTAAACGGAATCTTTATTTTTCTTATAATGACACATTCACAACTTTTTAGTATTAGCATTACCCCTTTAAGAGTAATTTTTACCTTTAAAAAGTAGCATAAAAGAAATTCCAAGTTTGCCGGGGTATAATTGACATTTTTCGGGAAATATTCCCAGGAGTCAAAAACATTACGTGAAAAATCACACCGTAAGGGGGTCGGTGTAAGACGGAAACAAACGTTGGGGGGATTTTAGCAATTACGGATAGGTGGGGTGGGGTGGGGTGTTTTTCGTAATTTGGCCTAAGTTCAGGGGGTTTTCGTAATTCACCCTAAAATATAATAAATTTAATATTTATGTGCTATTTCCCAACAACAATTATTTATTCTTACCGATACTTGTGCTTTATAGATCAAGATTTTAAAACGAATAACATGTTACATTGATGGGTACTTTTTACATTTAATTATTTTATATCTTTTAATAAATTTTGCATAAAAAAATATTGAAAATCATACCGTTTAGGACTCTGTTCCTTAAATATGCTTGATGCTATTTCAGACACATATTCCTCCCAATCCATGGGGGGTATGGCTTGATTGATTGTAAAAGGGTACCTAGAGTGAAACAGCACAAAATTAGCATATATGATATAACAAAAGGTACAGTGCAATTTTTGCATATGAAGAAAAGGTAAAAAAAACAGAACTTACTGTTGGACACGACAAGTTTCAAATGACAAAATTGCCCTCCTCAGGCTTCTATTAGACTGCTGTGCTATCCGATCAGAAAAACCAGATGGAAGTTGCAAACCTTCTTTCTTACCAATAAACTCCAACACCTTTGCAATCTGCCATTTTTAAATAATTTATTACTTGCAAAGAATAGAATACATCACTGAAGTCTAATAATCCTGTAAGTGCCACCGAGGATAACTGTAAGGTAATGGAGATAGCATGCCAAAAGTTGCTAATAAGCCATTGTTAAGAACATGCCAAAAGTGTCATTCTAGTTAACGTCTTGGAATACGAGTATAATCAAGAATCAAGTGCCAGCTGTTCATCTCCATTAACTATCGTAGATTCTAAGGCCTGATTCTAACACATAAGCAACTCAATAGCGAAGAAACTACATAATCGTAACAAGATGATTATGTAATAACAACATACATCCAAATTCATATATCAATAGCATGGATATCAAGGAGGCTCGTTTTTACTAAAATCAAAATAAATAGAAAAAAAAACTGACCTCGCCTTCTGTTGGTGCATTTATTCGCATATTTAGGCAACGAGAGCGGATAGCTTCAGTCACTTTGGAGGAGCTATTACAGCACAGAATGAGTCGGCAAGATGAGCTATATTTCTCCATTGTTCTTCGGAGCGAGTGTTGGGCTTCCCTCGATAGTTTGTCAACCTCATTCAGCACTAGAACTGATAATTTCACCATACCATGTCATTAGTACATAGAATTTATAAGTTATTACCACAGATTTACGTTCGTTAATACTTCCTCAAAGTTCTTTCAAAGTGAAAAGAAAAGCATATTTCCAATTGCAAAATTGGTATAGGCAATTAGGGTGAAAGAGTTACCTTTGAAACCCTTCTTTCCCTTAGTGTCGATAGGTCGATTTTTAGCCATTTCCTTGATTATCTCTTGAACAACGTACCGATCTTGAAATCCCGCATCACTAGGGCTCAGCTCAACATGGTGTGTGCTCGACATTGTCGTGAGCTCGACATCAATTGTTCTAGTCCCAGCCTGTATCAACAACAAATTTCAATTTCGTATTCAAATTAGAACCTCTAAATAAAACCTCGCCGTACGATATATATGTGTGTGTGTGTCTGAATAGAATACTCACATCAACTTTCCAGTTCTTGTTTTCGACTTTCACCTGCAGAGGGTGAACATCTTAACAGTCAAATTGAGGTAACCTTCAGTAAAACTTTGCAATTTGCTTTTGTAAGTAAATAAACAGAAAATCATGACAAAATTTCACCTTATCGGCGCTGGCACCGAAGATTTGTCTGAGAAGGGCCATAATTAGGGTTTTCTTACCCGACCCGGATGGCCCATAGAAGAGCAAATGGGGGCAATCTTGCTCCGTCACCTTCAACAAATAATAAAATTAACATAGAACAACAACCAAATTCGAAACTTTTCTCCTCGACTTGATTCCAAAAAATCTCGATTAATTACAACAATTACCAGTTTCTTCAGATTCTGAGCGATTTCTTCGTGGATCAGAACCTTATCTAGGGTTTTGGGACGATATTTATCCACCCACAACATCTCTTCTCCAAATTTCTTCTTCTTCTTCTTCGAGATTTTGCAGAGTGAATGGAAGAGAGTAGTAGAACCTGTGCGATATATTAATTTGGGGGTGAAGAGAGAGAAAGTGGCGGGAAAGAGTAGGTTAAGGTAACAAAGCTGTAGGCCTATGGATTAAAGTCGCTGTTTCAGAATAGCAACTTTATTATAAAAACATACTTTTTTATTATTATTATTAACACCTCAATAACGATATTTTAATATACATCAAATATTGATATACATAACTTACTTTTGGGGCTTTGTGAAAATTTGGAAGATAGGAGTCTGATATATATTTAAATATAGTAGAACATCGATAAATTAATACTTTATAAATTAATAATCTCGCTTAAATAATAGTCTTTTTTTTTTTATTCGGACTCGGTAAAAACCTACTTAATTATTAGTTCGATAATTTAATATTTTCGCTAAATTAATAGAATTTTGTTAGTCACGACTGTATTAATTTATAGAGGTTTAACTGTTGTTTTAGCATTTTGTGACATAAAATGAAATCCGACTTCTCATATTTTCATGCATTTTCTATAAAAAAAATCAACGGGTACTTCTAAATTCTAAAGTTCGAATATTTGTATATATATATATATATATATATATATATATATATATATATATATATATATATACTATAAATATTTTTTTTCGAGCTATTTTAGGTTGGAGGTCGTAATTAAGACCGCATGTGTGGCTTGCCCACAAGGCCGGCATTGTGATAGATACTCCGTAAGCGGCTAGAAATAAATTTATCCGGAAAAAAAAACTCGAAAACGAACATTAATTTATTGTTTAAGATCATATATATATAGGTAGGCTACACTAATAATTATTACATTGAATTATATTAGCGAAAAATGTGATTGGCGAATGCAACAGCAGGATCGTGGCTCTCATCCTCTTCTTCGTCTTCGTCTTGTAGGGCCCGGCCCGACAGATGAAGATTAACGGGGTCGAAACTGTTGTTGGAAGGTGCAGTTTCTGCAAAGTTGGTGCTAAAAGTGCTATTGTTGTTATGATGCAAGTTGCTAATCAGATTATTGCAGTTTGAAGCAGAAGAAGTGTTGGAATAAGCTGCACCAATATTATTATCATTATTACTATTAATAATATGGTGCTGTGTTTGGTGCTGATTTTGCAGATGTGGCGAATTTTGATGATGAAGTGTGTTTGCCAAAACAAATCTGCTGTTTATTAGCTGAGTTTGCACTACTGACAGCTCTGCTTGTAGTGATGCCACCTAATTATTATTTACATATTTATCCCACAAAAAAGAAGAAAAAAACATTAGAATATTACTAAAATACCCAACTATATATATATGCCTGATAAATTCAACAATGCTCGTTTGGTTTTGTTGGAGAAATTAGTTAAAATTAATTAAATAATTGGACTTTATTTGATATTTGGTATACCAAATAAATTACTAGGTCCAACCGCTAAAATTATATTATCATGGCTTATTCTGTCTTTGAGCTTTTTTCGTTCGACGTCTCGAGGTCTGATAAAATAATTGGATTATTTAATTTTATGTTCGCTAATCTTATCTTGGCAACCAAACGAGGCCCAAAGATACGTATTTCAGATTCTTTTTCTTATTTATTTATTTTTTATTTGGTACAAAAATTAAAAGTGGTTGACATGTTATATATATATATATATATATATATATATATCTTAGATGGCAAAACTATGTAGTGCATATACACAACATGGTTCAGTTTATATATACCAGCTCATAGCAACTTTTAAGCAGATATAATAAGCTTTATGCATAATATATATTCTAGAAGTGATTCTTTGATCAAGTTTTTTTCCTTTTTCTGGTTTTTGGTTATTAATTATAAAATGACAGAACTAATCTTAGCTCATGCAAGAGAATCGAAAAATCATAATAAAAAAATTTCGAATTCTTTTAGGAGAAATGAGTTTTAATTACCTGCTGCTGCAGAGCAATGATAGTGGACACGCAGCCGTAAACCGGGTCGGAGAGCCTGGCCTGAGCCTCGTACGAGATGGTCACCACCGCGTCCTGCCGCCTGTTTGCCGGGATGTGCGTCAGAAGCTTCGACACATTACTCGCCCCAAACACCTTATGCACCGCCGCGAAACGGGCGGCCCCCTGGTCCGACCCGAAATGCGGTGCGAATATGCACCCGCTCACGCACTTCCTCCTCAAGAACTTGCACGCACCGCACGGTGCGGTGGCCGGAGCTTGGGCGGCACCACCATCGGCCCCCGCCTCGCCTCCGTGCCCGGAGGAGCTCCTCCTTCCGGGCCCCCTCCGCCGGTTCTCGGACGCCCCGCCGTCACCTTGTGGCATATCCATGCAGAAAGAAAAAAAAAAAGTGTGTAAATAACTTATATATATAGAAGGTATGTTTAATTAGTGAGGAAATTAATTAGCAAAAGGTTATTGAGTTTAAAAGGGCAAAAAATAAATAAATTAAAGTGTGTTATGGTTAATGTATAGGAGTGGGGGTGGGGGGTAAGATTAAGGGGGCGGGGGGCCACGTAACTCTCGTGAAGGGGTTGGCAAGATTAGTGAAGCTTGAGTGAGTTGCATGCATGTGCAAAGGGAGTGTTTAGCATAATCTACATTTTTATATTATTATAATTAGGTTTAGTTAATTACAAAAACAATTTATCTAATTTTTTTGAACATAAAATATTATCGGGAACACTCTTTAAAAAATGGGATTTATTTTAATTTCTAGACACATAAAAGCAAATAGCAAAAGGGTGTTTTCTGGTTAAATTATAGATTATGCAAAATTTACACTAATATTCTTAATTTAAAGAATTAATTAGTATGATGCTAATTTTAGTTAGAAAATTTAACTATATATTATTACACACACATATGTGTGTGGGTGTGTGTGTGTGTGTGTAATAAACACATACATACATGCACAAGGTAAAATGGTGTTTGTTGGGGAGGCACAAGATTTGTGTTGGCGTGGCGTGTGGGAGTGGTGGGGGAGGCACAAGTGTTGCATTTGGGGAAACTTTATAGTTGTCATCTGTATAAGTCATATGTAATATGTATGTTTTTTACATGTAATATGTGATTAATTCTTTTATTAATTAATTAATTACCCCTATTTTTTTCTAATAAATATAGGCCTCGTTTAGTATATTGGCTTCTTCATATGTAATGAGGTGGTACAATACAATGTTAATTTTAACTTAGTAAGAATATATTGAGCTTCATATATTTATGCTACACTCAGGTGAAAAGCCCTCAACGATCATGCACCATTGATCTACATAAATAATCACCCACTAAGCACACATACACATGAGTGTGTGTGTTATTATGTGTAGATCAATGGTGCAAGATCAGCCGATGTATTTCACCGGATGTTGCATCTACAATACCCTAAATATCTAGGACAAATAAAATATTGGACAATCAAACAAAAAAACAAAAGTTGCAGAACGCAATCAAGAAAAAAAGATGCTGTGCTCAAGAACAACAAAACGTATCGTGCGAACTATCGTATTGAACGATGAAGGATTAAACATTTCCCTTAATAAATTCAAGTATTTTTTCTCATCAGAACTAGCAAATCCGAGATTGATCATATGATCAAAGACATCATCACTATTGCCAAACTAAGTCAAAACTTCTGGTTTTTACTAACGAGTACGATAATACAAGACATGGGAATCCTTAGCCTACGTACGTACCTTTGTTCCAACAAATGAGAACTGCACAATCTCATATATATTACACGGGCCTTACTTCTAACATCATGACATGGATTTGTTGTCAAATTTTGGCCTCTCCGTTTACAGCTGCACTTGTGCTCTTTTTGGAAACGTTGATGAAAGACTTAACAGGGTTTTTCTTGGGCACGGTTTTATCGGTTTGCTTTACATCCTTTCCAGAACGTACGAATCTCTTGACGAACGAATTCTCGGGTAGTGTACTATTGGCCTCTGTTGGCTCTGCGACTTTCAAATCGGGACTTCCGTCCTCAGTAATTTCTCCGTTGTTGGCTTTATTACCATTTTGTTGCTTTGCGCTCTCTGGAAGTAACGCACGGCGGCTCAGACGAAGTTGACCTTTCTCATTGACCTGTAATGCATTCCAATAATTTACAGCATTGTTATGGAAGGTTTTGAAATTGAAGAGTATTCTATGAAATTTATAAATAGGGTGGTGTTTGAAAGACGATCCATACCTCAATGAGCTTGACATCAATACGATCTCCGACTTTAAAAGCCTGTGTGTTTGTAAATGAAAATTGTTAAATCACAATTAATCTTAAATGTTTAGTTAAGTATTGAAGTGCGTAATGCTTACATCTTCAGCCTTGGCCAGCCAATTTGCACTCAGCTCACTAATATGGCATAGTCCCTGAAACACGTAGAATAGACCAATTCAGCTCAGTTGGCAAGATAACTTTATTACATGAGAAGAAATTTATTCGAACTACGTAGAGATTATTTGGGATTTTTTAAGTACCTCTCGGCCAGGTGAAATTTCAACGAAAACTCCATATTGAGCAATTGATTTGATCTCACAATCCCTGATTTAAAGAAAGCACAGTAAAATGTGAATGTAAGAACTTGGAGATTAGGTTCACTTAATATAATCAAATGACGAGAATAACAGCTAATAGAAGTCGGTTTTATTAGCAAGTACTTCTATAGTGAAGGGAGGAACAGAGGCCAAAAGCAAACCTGTAGATTTCGCCTACAGTTGAGACCATTGTCAGTCGGGCAATAATGGCTTTAGACTTTTCCAAGCTTACCAAATCTCTAGCTGTTATTTTGACCTGTAACAGCCACATATTACGCCAAATAATTGAAGGAAAATTGGTTAACAAATAACAACTCGAATATAAGTTCTTCTTGTCAGCTTACAATGCCATCATCTTGCGTCTCGATAGATTCAACTCCAGTTTCTTCTATAATGCTCTTCACTTTCTTTCCACCGGAACCTATGATCAGGTTAACTTTATCTGGTTTGACCTGCGTTATCAGAAAAAAACAATTGTTAAAAACCCCATTACAGCCTTTATATGATCAATTAATCTGGATACTGAAAAGTGACAAACCTTCATAACGTGAATAATTGGAGCATATTTTGAGAGTGTCTTCGAAGGAGGGGGGAAGCATTTTGCCATCTCGGCTAGAAATCAACAGAAAAAAATGAGCTCTATATATAGAAGGTACCGACTATGAAAATAAAATTTGAGTGTTAGAGCATTCATTGGTTCTCTCAAAGATTAAACTTCATTCTACTTATCATCAAATCCATAGAAAACAGCTGATAAACACTGGTGGCCATATATGCAATAGATATATTGGGGCAGTTATCTGGATATCAAGTATGAGTTAAATTTTACTCGACCGGTATGAGACAGTTAGGTATACAAAAATGTCTCCTGGAAATCAGTAATTATTGTGAAGAACTTTTCAGTGTTTTCAATTATTTGCTTTTGTCAAGAATCTGCTTATCCATGTTTAATCTAATTCGGTAGGCGACAATGAGGTTGATAATAGTTTACCAAGAATCTGCTTCCGCCCCTCTTTTGCTTGGAGGAGAGCTTTACGCATGACTGGTAAAGTAATTCCTCCAACCTGCAATATCAGATCGAGATACGTCAGTCCGAATGAAGTGCAAAAATTAATCACGTCTAGGCATAAAGATTAACTGGAACTATATAAGAAACTATGACAAATAAAACTATGATATACAACCTTTATGTCCATCTGAAATGAAGTTACACCATCATCATTTCCAGCAACCTGCAGCACCAAAAACACAGTTCACCAACAAAACACGATAACATTACTTGGAAAAAAAATTCCAATTGATCGGGAATATGGAGGAACACATTGAACGCATTTTTACTAATAAACCAAGAAAACGAAAAAAGAAGATTCCAAGACCTTGAAATCCATATCTCCTGATGCGTCTTCACCCCCTGTTATATCAGAGAGGATGAGTGGAGTGCCGTCTCCTCCAAACTCCTTGGTGTCCAAGACCATACCCATCGCAATGCCAGCAATTGATGACTTCACTGGAACACCAGCATCTTGTAATGCTAAGCAACCCCCACAAACCGAAGCCATACTGTCACAAGCAATTAATAGATATGAACAGTCCCTTTCGTATCGCTCATTAGCATCATAGTAAGAAGATATTTCAAGAAAGCTTATATTCTTAAATTATTTTTTATCCCTGATAAGAGCAACTAAAATGGCACTGTGTGGGAATGGATTTGGTTGGAATGAAACTGAAATGCAATGGGAGAAACGTGGACAACACTGAGTTCAGGAAGGATAAACATGGAAATTTACAGAAGTTCCTAATCTTGATTTCTGTACTTCCATCAAGACTCAAGAGCCATTTAAGCCATTTAAGTTCTACAACAGTGAATAGTATCGCACTAGAATACATAACAATGCAGTGCTATTAAATTGGTCAATGTTTTACCTTGATGAGCCGTTGCTTTCTGTGATGGTACTCTCAACACGTACAGTATAAGGGAAGTCATCTTCAGAAGGCAATATCCGTTCAAGAGCTCTTTCTGCAAGCATTCCATGGCCAATTTCTCTTCGAGATGGTGCTCCTGCACGGCCAACTTCTCCAACACACGAGGGAGGAAAACAGTACTGCACAAAAATACAACGAAAGACAGTTTCACCAAAACTTCAAAATTCGAACATTTGATTTTTCAAGTCAGCTTATATATGGCCTAATAAACAAAAGAATCGGATCGAAAATAGCAGTAAGTGAACTTAAAAATAAGTGTATTGACTTAGTGAATTTATAACTATGAAAAGGAAGATACTTTGGGACACATACAGCTGAATATTTTTTTAACACTACAGCTGCCTATAATTCTCTTAAAAACCAAGATGCAGACTGTATAGTTTATGAAATGTGTTTGACCCTTTAGCAGATAATAATATAATCTATGTAAAATAGTTTTTTAACGTGAGAGAATAAGATGTTTCCAAGTGAAAGCGTCATGAGATTAACCTATTTCAAGTTGTTAATGTTATGGGAGCAACTAATGATTTATCTACAAAATAATAGTTTTGCCTAGAAAATATGAGCTTTTCAGAAATTTAACCTGAAGATAGAATCTCTTGAACTCGTCGTCATCCACAAGATTGTCTATTCTCTGTGCCATTTGTTTATCACCGAGTGTAACCACGGCTAATGACTACAAAACAAAAACGGAACATGTAAAAAATTACAAAAATAAGTGAACATAAGCATCAAGTTTATAGAATCAACGCAGTTTAACCAAGCATGAAATTAAGTTTGTTTATGTCATAGAACTCAAGCGCGTGACAAATAGAGAGAATTTTGTGTTATATTTATATAGAATATAAAGGCAATTTATCACCACTTGAAAAAATTATCAACACAGCTCAATGGAGACGCACATCAGATAAGGAATGTATACGGAGAAATCAGTATCGTGACTATAGTGGGAACCGGGATGAGAAATAAATAGATCAGCGTAAGCCAATAAGTAGATCCCTTCATAAATTGAGAACTGATGTTTAGGGTGTGATGCTGAATTTAAAAAAATACTTGAATAAAAAAATATCATGTGAAAAATGCAAAAGGAGCAAAATAGTTAATCTAGGTTTCTACAAAGAACAAATATAACCAGACCTGCGTTTCGCCACGTGTGAAGAGAGCGCTTCCATGTGCTCGTGGAAGTAATCCACAGCGTGAATTAATAGACCGTAATTCTTCGGGAGTTCTGCCATCACTTCTTTTTCCTCCCTGAGTAAATGAGAATACGAAGTAAAATCTCAGAGTAGGGATTAACAGTATGAAACCATTACAAAATTTGACAATATCTTCATTTGGAAGGGGTGTGGCATGAGGATAGCTCCTAACAGATAATAGAACATGTTAGTTGGTATACTTGTTTTATGTGCTTTACAATGGAACATGATAATTCTGGTTTACTTGTGGAAGTAGAAAACAATTTATTCGCCATTAACAGACGTCATAATATCGACAAATATGAAATATCCGTGCATCGCTTAGGTTAGGTATTAGGAAAATGAAGTCTCTTACAAGAATGTCAACCTCTAATTCACCGGATTCGCTTTTTAGTAGTGAAAGAAATCCATTAGTACCGAAACATTGAAATTACTCAAAGACTAGCGGATGTTGGATGATATAATAAACAATTGCAAATTCTATAAACACAACAGACTACACAAGAGGCTGAATTTAATTAAAACCTTTCATGATTAATTCATAAGAACTTGTTTATTGACCAAACAAAAGTTGTTCACGTTAATGAAAAAGCTAACAGTTACTTGGTTAAAAGAAAAAATAAAGTCCGTTGGTATAAAACTGCAAGTTAATAGAGCTAACACAGGAATCATATTTGATATGTTCCAGTTGAAATATTACCTCCACAATACGTCTCCGCAAGAAATTTGATGATACTTCTTTGAAAACTAGCTTCACATCCACCTCAGAGTAAAGCTGTAAATATGATACATCAAAAAATGAGTGAAATTCAATCACACATTTATCAACAAAAGAAATTCTTAAAGGCAAATATTTACCAAAGGGGTAGGCTTTTTTGGGACTGGCTTGATACGGATATCACCTTCATCAATTTCACCATCAAGTACAACCTCCTCATCCTCATCTTCATCCTCATTTAAGTCTGGTAACGTTTCAGTAGTAACAGCAGCTTCTATCTTACTAACAAAACCCTCCTCTGTAAGTATGCCAATGACTTTTGCTTCCAAAGACGATAAAGCCTTTCGTCTAGGGATTTTATTCTTAATTTGTAGCGCTTCGATTAGTTCATCACCTGCAATTTCCTGAGTATTATCAAAAATCACCGTCATGACTTAAGAGAGTGCTTGTATCACAATAAAAGTAGAAAACTACGAAAGGGATAACATTCAGAGATTTAGAACATTTACAGAGAAATTTCTGTTAAACATGGCAGTACTACGCGAATAAAAGGTGGGCCAAGATCATGTTTTATGTTTACCACTTACTAACCACATGAATATTACTAGCTGTGATGTGAATTTGCCAGCATTACTGTATCTCTCTTAATAGGAGAACTTCTTTCTGTTGTACCTCGGTTAGCTGCCTTTATGATTTGACCTCTCTTACATAATGGCTTTTACTTAAGATCCAGATTTTGTGATTCCACAGGGAAATCAGAGTAACTTACCATGGTTTACTAAACGAATATTACTTGTGCTACTTAGATCGTAGAGTGCCTGAAGGATCAAAAACATTTGTTTGGCGCATCCACATTTACATTGGGGCCAGTTCTTCCTGATACAAAGCACAACTCAAGTGTTTTGTGGATGGATTATTGTTCCTCAATTTACGGGAAAGAACCCAATGTTTCAACATGGATCAAGTTAAAACAGATCTCACTGAATTACTATTGTAGCACCTTGAAGTCCTGATTTTGGATATGCACGGGCCACTAAACTAAACAAAGTGGATATTAAGAGAGTGTTTTTATAGATACAAACAAAAAAACAGGTACAAAAGAAATGCAGAGAGCGACAAAAGAAAGGAAATTGAAAAGAGCATAAAAATTATTCTGGGATGGAAATTTCAGACAAGAACATGACAAACATACTTCGACGTGCTTATACAGCTCGGGAGGTGGCAATTTGATTGCATCAAGCATCTTTGGTTTTCCACACTTCTTCACTAAGGATTCCACCGCTTCGATTATAGCTCGCACAGCATTCTGAAATTGCAAACAATGGAAACTTCTGATCAGTTACACAAGTCTCAATATTACACTTATAAATACACTATAACGTTCAGTTGAAGTTCCAATTAAATTCTGAATCTTCACACCGAATAAATCATGGTAATCAATCCGAGTAACCCACACTGAAAAAAAAATAGCAGCTAAGACCGTTGAATAAATTACTGACCCAAAAAGTAACTATGGGGAATCAAAGTCATTTGTTTTTCAATAAATAACCTGGAATGGTAACCAGCACTTCCCAAATTTTCATAAACTTTTCCCTCATCCCCCAAAATATATCATTTTTGTTTCGCTTCTTAAATTGCGAAGATGATTTGACTAAAATAAATATAAACCTTACTTTATTTTTCAGATTCTTCTCATAAAACGCCTCTTTCCCAACACTTCAGACATGAATTGACTGGTACAGTGTAATAGTACATAATAGGAATACAAAACATCTTTCCCCAAGAACAAAATAGAAATGCTAACTCAAAGGGGGGCCAAACATAGCCTTAATTTTTTAAGTTGATTTATAACCCCAAACATGTGAAGCATCCCCAAGTGTATCGGATATTACAAAAATAAGAATGATCAGAAAGCCTATAATAGCTTGTTTGATCAAGTTCTACAAATGATGATGTCAGACAACATCAACCATGGACAAACTCTGCCTGAGGAAAGTCAAGTCTCCTAGATGCCATGTAAGAGGAAATGAGTGATAAACACTGTTATAATTAGTCTTGTTCCATAATAAAGACCTGAAAGTTTATTTGACATCCCCATTGCCTCAAAAAGAAAAAATACATCATTAAAAAGTGGAAAGCAGATAAAGATACAACATGAAGAAGGGAAGGCACCTGGCCGACTTCTACTGCTTCCAGTAACTTCTCTTCAGGAAGGAAGTCGCAATATCCCTATTATGTCCATTTCGTACACAAAAGAGAGCAGTATCAGTTAAAAATTGCACTATATGTCCCTGACAGCAACCAGAGATGGAGAGTATGAATATAGTAATTAACCTCAATCATCAAAATTGCACTATCTGTCCCTGCCAGCAACAAGTCTAGCTTAGAGTCTTCCATCTCCTTATTCGTTGGATTCACAACAAACTTATCATCAATAAGCCCAATGCGAACCCCTGCAATCGTTTCAGAATTTGGCACTTCCGAAAGAGCTCTGTTGGAGTTCATGATTTGCAATGATATATAAGTGCCTCAAAATACAAGTCAACCATTACAAGAGGACAAAAGCAATAAACATACACTGCAATCCCAGCTGCTGTCACCGCTAATGAATCCGGGGGATGTACACCATCATAACTCAGCACCTGCATGCATACAATGTAAGTTCAAACAAGTTAGCTAAAGTGCAAATTGTTTGGCTAAAATTCACTTGATTTAAATTGACCCAGACCAACTGGAGACAAATTCCACCTGAAATCATTTCGCTAAATTACTATAGTTGCAACATCGTCACCTCAATCAATACAAGTAAGTTCACTTTCCTTCTGTATCCATCCCAATCATTTCAAATCTCGTCCAATATGCACAAGTCTGTTATGCCTCAATTCAACAAACTGTTTCACTTTCTCCATTTTCCATGAATATGATTCATTAATTTAATATCATCAGCCATTTAACTTATTAAGAGCACCTTACCAAACTTTCAAGTCCTTAATTTATCTCTTCTCTAGTTTCCTCTACAAGGATTTGTATATGGTAACTTGGCTTAGGTATTTATGATAAATACTAAAGAAACATAATTCAGAGAAACCATTTAAAGGATATATATGTTTATATATGAAGGCAACAATCAAGGAAACTACATATATTCACTAGATTTAGGAAAAGACATACACTAGATCGTAACTGTATTACGTGATAAAAAGGCAACAATCAAAAAAACTATATACATTCACTAGATTTAGGAAAAAAAACGTACCCAAGATAGTATCTGTGTTTCGTGATAAAATCCTTTACGCATAGTTGGCCGTATAGGTCTATCTATTAGTCTGCAAATGAGAACCTGCAAAAAGAAACTGCTTACAGATTAGTTGGTTACTTGGTTTACCACAATATAGCAATTGATAAATGTTATTCGTAATTGACAATGAAACACTATAGCAAAAGTTCCTCAACATCAAAATCAGTGGAAGTACCTCATGATCCTTTGTCTTTCCCTCTCGTTTGAAAAATCCGCCACTAGACAATGACAGGATAATAAAAAGATAAGTTTTGTTACCGCACTGAATTGGGTATTTAAGAGAGAATAGTGAAAAAGAGAGCAACCAACCAGTCACACAAAACTAACTTGATTAACATTTACCTTGTTCGACCAGCTGCTGAGAATCGTTCTTGGTAATGTACAGAAAGTGGAAAGAAATCAGACGGTTCGCTCGGGACATCAGACAAACAAACAGTTGTGTAGATAATCTACAAGGAAATGTCAAACCATTTTATTCAAGCATAAAGTGATGGTTTTTGGTATAAAACAACATACATTGGTCAGTAGTCTGGGAGAAGTACTAGAAAGAATTCAGTCAAAGAAAAGCCATATATAAATTATTTAAGCCCATAGCTTACAGTTTCTCCATCTGTAACAGTAACAGCACCACTAGCTTGTCTCCCAATGTGACCTGTCTCGACTAATATCTGTAAAAATTCAGAAAAGTCACTTGCTGGGTTAAAATTTGGTAATAAATTCCAGTAGGATCCAAACATCAAATTAAAAGAACGTGTCGGAAAATAACCAGGCCAGGGAAAATGAAAGAACAGTTTGAGTACTACAACATTGTAATTAGTATGCTGATAATTTGGTGATCATAAAGTTGAGAGATTCATGGTTGGATTCCATAATTAATTGTACTAAAACTGAAAATTTTCTACTGGCATTTCCAATCTCACAGACATTTCAATTCGATTATTTTGACTGGATGCTAAACAATGTTGGTTTATGACACTCACTGTAACATACTTCAATCATTCAGTACACAATTGCAAAGCCCCAATTATAAACCTTTCCAGCGTGAATAAGTCATATTCAACTATCTTTCTACGCAACGAAAATCGAAGCGTCGTCAAAACACAATGAAATGAACTCCCGGAAAGGAAGATTAAACACACTAAACCTCGTGCCGACGAAATTCGTACCTCCCACCCATTATCAACCAAATTCGAAATATCTAACTTCAACAAGCAATAAAAATAACTGCAAATAAAACTCACATGGCGATCTCCGACGGGAATTTTGATGGAGAAAGGAGCGAACGACTGCTGCAGAGCATCCTCGGGTTGAATGCCAGGCTCCGCCGCCAAAGAAGCTCCGACAGAAAACTGATTGCACAAGTTTCCGCTTCCTCTGCTGCTTTTACTTCTCCTCCTCCTCGTTCTAGGGCTCCGAACAACGGCATTTGGCAGCAAAATTGACGACAAATGAAATTTCTTCGACGGGGGGAAGCAATTAACCGACGAAAAATGAGGCAAAATTTTGAAATTGTCGGAATTTAGGGCTTCGAAATGCGACGAAGTGGTGTGGAAGCTGGAATTGGGAGTTGCCGCCAACATTTCTGCAACCTCCTCCTTCGTTTCACCTGCACTGTGTGTGAAGTGTGTGCAGTATATGCAGGCTTATCCACTTTTCTTCTCGGAATGGAAAAAAAGGGAAATTTAATTTGTATATTAAATTAATTTATTCAATTTTTTAGGGCGTTGCAGTGGATTGGGCCTTTCTTGAGAGAATTGAAATTGTGTGCTTATTTCTACATTTGTTGGGCCTACAGGCCCATAACTCTCTTTTTTATTATTTATTTAAATGAATATTTGCAAATAATAAAAAGAAAAAAGAACATTGGAATTGATTTTTTTTTTTCCCACTAATTTCTAATTTAGAATAATATTTTTCATTCTAAGTTTCAAAAATTCTAATTACCATTTTTTCTAAATCTTTTTTTATAGGACTTGGCATATATGTGTTTTTTAATACATATATTTTTATATTTTTCCTCTTCTTTTTTCTTATTTATTGTCTTCTCGTCGTCTTATTTTTTTCCTTTCGTTTATGGTACTTTCTAGCTCTCTACTGTAGATAGTGGCGGATCTGCTATTGCGCAAGGATGTGCAACTGCACACTCTTACACCCTTGATCTAATAAATATATGATTGAAAACCAGAGAGTCTTAATCGCACTTGACATTATGTGCATGTGCAGTGTCTGATTTCCGTCCCATTTGAATACTTAACTCTTCTTCTAAATTCCAACTACTATTTAAATACGCACACGTCTACAAAATTTCCAAAGTTTTCCTAAAACTTGCAAATGATCTTTTTAATTTCGAAGTTTTTACGTATTATTATGTACTGTTTTATGTGTACATTGTTAAAAAAATTGGAGGGGCAACCTCGTGTAACTTTTAATCCATCGTTTTTATTAAAAAATATTTATATTTTTTTAATATACTCGATTTCAAATCATCCTATTTGGTGAGAAAGAATATAATGTAGCAAACGATGGATGACCAAACATATATATACCAACAAAAGAGAAGTTTCAAACGTTATCAAATTCTTTTTTTCATTATGGAAAAGGCCAAATTTAAGATGTTTCAAAGGTTCCTCAATGATATGTTTAGTCCTTGTCTCAACTCTCAATTGAAATAGGTCATGATTAATATATGCTATAATTTATTTTTATTAATAAGGTTGATTGATTCTAATGTTATCAAGAAGTAGTAGCATTAAGATTGATTTAGTTTTAATTTAGTTAGATGAAAATCGATCAGATCATATCAGAATTAGCACTTTCAGAAGAAGAAAATTTTATTTTTTTCGGAATCAAAAATCCAATTTCAGAAAATCGTAAACATATCGAATGGAAACTAGAATGAAAAAAACTCGTTCCAAAATCCAAAGTTTCGAATCAAAATCGACAGAAATCGCAAATTCTCATCACAGCACTATCGTTTTAGAGTGTTGAAAATTGACCTCATTAAAAGTGACTCTCAATAAATAAAGCAAATATAGAATTTTGACAAGTTGACAAGTGACAAATTACATGTGGGAAATCGACAACAATGACTTATGTGCAAAAATAAGTCACGTAAGCTTTATTTTAAATTATTTTTTGTGTAGTTATATTAATGTGAACCAAATATTTTCTCTTAAATAATATGTTTGCCAAAGTCATTCATAAATTAATAATTGCTAATATTAAAAATTAATAATTTCATTATTTCACATACAAAATAAAAGGTATGTTCGTGTGCATACAAATGGTATAGTGTCATTAAAATTGTATTATAAATAAAAGGGTAAATTACAATCGGCCCCCTAAGGTAAGATCTATTTACAAAAAACCCATCCGTTTTCCACAATTACATCCAGATCCTGTAATTTGTAGATTTTCTTACACTAACACCCTTCTATAGAAGGGTAGATGTAAGGCATTTACCTACTGCATGCAGAGAACTGGATGTAATTTCTAAAAGAAACGATTTTTTTTCTCGTAATTACACGTTACCTTAGGGAGGTGATTGTAATTTACCTAAAATAAAAATAAATAAATATGAGCACAAAGTCTAACCAAAATTAATTATTGGACCACTTTAGGTAGAAAAAAAAAAGTTTATAAACATAGGTTGGCATTATTGGTTTAATCCCATAATAATATAAACAAAGTTGGGCTTGTTGTTTGGTACTTGGTGGGGCCCCCATGACAGTGAAAACGATTGAGCAAAAATTCTTGTCGACTCAGTGACTCAGTCGGTCACTATTTGAGTTACGAATCGTGTTGGACTAGAACTTCCAAATGCAAATATAATCTTTAGGTAACAAAACTCCAAAAACAAAATCAATTATTGATGTGGAAAAAACGTGAGCCATCACCAAATACATGTTCATGCATTTCCAATTGATTTAATTGGTATATATATATATATATATATATATATATATATATATATATATATAGAGTAAAAAGCAGTTTGCCCCCTAAACTATGGGCCGATTTGCACTTTACCCCCCAAACAAAAAAAATTTGCACGTTTTTACCTGAACTCGTTAATTCGTTGCACGGTGCCCCCTAAACTCAATTTTCCGGCAATTTTGACCGGAAAGTTGAAACATGTGCCTTGCACGTGACATTTGCAGGGATATATTTGTCTATTCACTTACATCTTGTATATTAAATATAAATTAATCTTTAAAAAACAAAAAAAACAAAAAACTAAAAAAGAGAAAAATATATTGAGTCTTCTTCTTCCCTTCGCCCTTCGGAAGAGACGACCCAATCTTCGGATGATGATTTCTCCGGAGAAAAAATAAAAGATTTGCATCCTCATTTACTAAGCTATTACTTCTCCATACATTCATTCACCTTCAATTAATAACAAGATAACTGTGTTGTTTCTAGGAGAGATATATTTCAACACCAAACACATTACGAAATTTCAACGTCTCAATCAGCGAAATGATTCCTACACAACAACCCTAGAAAAATGAATTTCAATGAACTCAAGAAGAAGCCACCAAAAACACTGGCGATCAAGAAACCCCTAAAAAATCCCCATTATGTTCAAATTCGTTGAACACAGTGTACAAAACCAGACACAAAATTCAAATTCACAAATCATCGAAACGAAAGCATAATTTCATTCGAAATTTAACAACAATCGGCATACCTTGCCTCGCATCTTATGACGAGATCGGAATGAAGAACAAATCGGCCCGATCTGGATCATCCGTCACGAAATTACTCTCCCTGAGATTCTGAAAGAAGTAACCCTCGCTCGCGTACTACTCCCTGGGAGTAGTACCTTGGGCAGCGAAGGATGTATGGTGAGGGGGGTAGGGCTGGTGGAGGGGGAATACTGGAGAGAAGGGGAGTGGAGGGATTTAAGGGAGAGAAAAGTGAAGGAGACGAGTGTTATGATGGCGAGTGTGAGGAGGGAGCTTCGGAGAGTGAGTGCGGCGGAGGGCGGTGGCTGAGGGAGTTTCGCCGCCAACATTCCCGCGGCGGAGTGGTGGTCGCCTGAGTAACCCTTGCCGGTGTGTGGTGGTGGCGGAAGAGTCGAATTGATCTCGGAGACCGGCGAACAGGAGAAGGGAAGAAGAATGACTCAATATATTTTTCTCTTTTTTAGTTTTTTGTTTTTTTTTGTTTTTTTTTATTTTTTTGTTTTTTAAAGATTCAATTTATATTTAATATACAAGATGTAAGTGAATAGACAAATATATCCCTGCAAATGTCACGTGCAAG